CTTACTGAACCTCACCCTGGGATTCAGCAGCTATAACAGCAATTTCAGCCCCAGTTGGACCTACCTTGCCTCAATGGAAGTTCTCTCCACATGGGGCAGATTTGTCCCTAACTACAAGTGTGATTTGGAAAGAAAACCAGTAGCAGCTATTGGGGAATCTGACATCTCAGTACACATGGCAACTATATTGTGTATGCACAAAATTTTACAGGTTAGAACTCCACATGAATAATGGGGATTTACTCTCCTTTCATTATATCTTTGCATCCCATGCTTCAAAATCCAGCAGAGCAAAGATTCACTCAGTCACGTTTCTGCGCATAGGTCCTGCACCAAGGTAACCAAAGGAGTTTTCTTCTGACAAGCTAGCCTGAAGTCAACCTTTACTAAACCTAAACTGCACTATTATCTCCATCATCAAGCAAATGGGGCAAATGAGAAGCTGAGGAATTTACTCCAGTAACTGAACATTGGAAACCAGTCAGAAATTCTTCAACTCACAGTGGCTTAAGGGGACATTCTAGTAAGAACGAAAAGACAGTTCTTTGAAAGGACAGGATAGGATGGGACCGGGATGGAGTAGAGTAGGAAGTCCCCTCAGTTCAACCCCCTCTGCTGCTACTGTTGCTTCCACTCACACAGTTGTAGGCTTGGACTATCCCACTCAGTAGAAGTGAGTCAGCATGTTAGCTTGATGGATACCTATGGAGGCAGTTTAAAAAAAATCACACCTTGCCATAGGTGAAACTCACCATCATCCATACACACTTATCCTCTCACTCTATTAGCAGGAGTTTTTATTAGCAAACTGTGGAACACACATTCAGATATACATTCATGATACACGCAAACATATATTATTTTATAAGCCAGTCTGAGGAACTTCTGTATGTTTTTCAGAGAAAAGGCGATATACATGAGAGGATATAAAGATGCAAATGAAAAGTAGCATAAAGATTTCATGGATAAATTTGTTCTATAACTGTGTGTTCATAATGCTATCAACTTCACAGTAATTAGGGAAATGTTGATCATGCTGTTACATGGATTTACACTGAAATCACAGGTGCATAAATAGAGTCCATGTCAAATCAGTGTGTTAGAAAGTGGTCCAATTTTCATTTACACATTACTGTACCAAACTGATATTGGGAATACAAAGCACAAAGCAGTTTCACTTCAAACTAGCTAGTTTTAAAGCTTGTGATTCAGCTTCAGAAATGAAAAAGCTCACACAAATGCATATATTTGAAGAAGAATGGAGAAGAGAAATCATATTTGAAAGTGACATACTCAAAATCTGTCTATTTGAAAAATGCAGAAAAAAACACTTGCCTCAATGGAGAAGAATCTCCAAAAACACTTCCTGGTGAAAACTGCTTTAAAATGCATATCAGTGGTTGGGGAGAGAAACAGAAAACAATGTTCCCATGAGAATGCATGAATATATTTGTTCCACAGTTCATATCTCAGTTCAAAACTCCCCTTTTCTTATGTATACATAGTTACATATAGACGTACATACAAACATAGAGACACCTTTCGTCAGTATTTTCCTCCTTCTGTTTTTCCTTTGTCTACGCTAGCTCCCTTATGGGTCTGCTCCAGTAGTAAAGAATGAAAACCAAGCTGCTTTTTTCCAGCCAATGTTCCCACATGGAGTCCATCAACAGAGGGGCATTCTCCAGCTGCCTTTGCATTTTAGGTGGACATGGATTGGAGTTCTATCAGTGAAGAGTGACAATGGGGAGAGGTTTGTCAATGAAATGCTTTCCACATTTTCCCACAAAGGGATTTGCTTTGATTTCATACAAAATTTCCCAATAGTTATCTTTTTCATTCAAGTGTCTGGCCTTACCTACAGCATCTACAATACTGTCTACACGGTGGCACATGCTTTGCAGTCAATGCAGCCATCCAGTTTGAAGCAAAGAACAATGGCAGATGGAGGAAGGAAAAAGTCTCAGAATCTGGAAGCCTGGAAGGTAATGCAGGACATGCCTTGGAGAGCACACCCTGTGTATGAGACAGGTCCACCTAGGCCTCACTTTTCCTATTTTAGTGGTTTTCCTTCTAGGTATGAGATCTGAAATCTTTGCATTTTTCAAAACAAATAAACAAAAAATCATAATGAAATTAATGAAATACTCTCATAAGAACTCCTGCCAAGTACTCTAGGGATGAGTATTGCCAA